AATCACCGGATAAGTTGAATTTGGTCCAAGAAATGCGTACCTTAGCCCATCTGGTAAGGTCTTGAGGTCCACCTTTGGGGCTTTGAGCTCGCTCCAGTCATCGTCTGAAGTTGCTCGAGGTCGTGCTCTGCCTCTACCTTGTGGATTTCCTCAACTCTCACGGAGCGTCCTATGATTTCCTCAACCACGTCATTGGGAACAGTCCCTCTGTGGGAGTCTAAGAGTCGAGCATACTCCAAGGATTCGGTGTTGAAGTAGCTCTTTTCCTCCGCTTTCTCAGTCAAGGTTAGCTGAAGCTGGTCCTCTGTGGCTAACTCCTCTAGATACTCGTCTGCCAACTGATCCAAAGTCTCTACCCAGAAGAGCTGTCCATCAATGGTTGGTTTCTTCATCGACCTCTTGATGTCGAAGCTGAGCTTGAAGTCATCTCCAAAGTTTAGCTCAATCTTCCCTCTCTGAACATCGATGATAGCTCCAGCGGTTGCCAAAAAGGGCCTTCCCAAGATCAGCGGATCCTTGGGTTCTTCATCCATCTCAAGGATAACAAAGTCAGTGGGTATCTCCACGTTTCCTACTCGCACAGGCAAGTCCTCGAGCATACCCACTGGGATGCGTACTGATCTATCCGCAAGTACCAAGGAAACGTCGCACTTTTGATACTTCTCGAACCCAAGCCTCTTAGCTACTGTGAGTGGCATTACAGATACGCCTGCTCCAAGATCACATAAGCTTCGGTTGAATGCCAGAGGACCAATAGAACAAGGGAGAGTGAAACTGCCTGGATCCTCAAACTTCTTCCCAACCACTTTCCTAGTGATGATTGCGCTACATTCCTGAGAAAGAACGACCATACCCTGAACCTCTTTTCTTCTCTCGGTTACAGCGTCCTTGAGAAATTTCTGATAGGGAGGGATGAGCATACATGCGTCCAAGAAGGGCATTGTAATATCAATCTCCTTTATTTGCTTATCAACAGGGCTCTGCTTTCTCAAGCTGTTGTTTCTTGAATCGAACAGGAAAGGGAAGTTGCGGTTTGTAAGGAGGAGGAACGAAAGCTGGGGCTTTCTTCTTCTTTTGCACTTCCTCTGGTGCTTTCTCTTTCTCTTGAACTGGTGGTTCCTCTTCAGTCACAGGTGCTGGCTTCAGTTTCAACTGAAATCTCCTCCTCTTGTTCCTCAATGTCCTCATTGACTGGTGCGGGTCCTGTTCTTGGAGGTAAAGCGCGTCCACTTCTCAATGTAATTGCTTGTACGTATTCCTTGGGATTCTGCTCTGCTTTACCCGGAAGTTGACCTTGCGTTCTGGATGAGGAAGCTGTTCCGCCTTTGTGTTCAAGCTGATGGATTCTACTTGTGAGAGCTTCAATCTTAGTCTGAAGGTCGTGGTGCGAGAAGTCGATTCTCCCATTGATCTCAGATAGTCGCTTGTTGAGATCCACGTTTCCGGTAGACTGTCCCTGAAGTAGTTGCTGAAGCATCTGCTTGACTCCAGGTTCTTGCGGACCTTGCTTAGCCTCGAATCCAGGTGGAACAGAGGTGTTTTTCTGATAGCCTCCTTGGTAATTTTTGTTGTACCCATCACGTGGTTTAGTTGGGTACATCTTTCCTTGACCAGACGTGTTGGCTTGAGGAGGATAGACTTGGTCCTGGGGGTTCTCTACATTCGTGCTTCGATAGGACATATTGGGGTTGTTCTTGTAGTAACCCTGGCTATGAATGTAGTTGACGTCCTCAGTGTAAACTCCTCCTCTTGATCGTCATCACGTTCCTCCAGCATGTGTACCGACTGTTTTTGCTGGACTATAAGCAGTTTGTCAAGCTTGTCGTTCAGCACTTCAGTTCCTTCTTGTGCTTTTCCTCTGCTTCGACGGATCCTCTGTTTGTGCGGTCATGTCTTCGCCGTATGTACCATTGCTCATTGCCATGTTTTCCACCAAAAACAGACCGTCGTCGACGTCTCTGGCCAAGAAGTTGCCTTGGCTTGCTGTGTCAAGCATCTGCCTAAGCGAGGCAGTACACCACGGTATAGAGTGCTTAAGAGTGACTCTTGAGAGAAACCGTGGTGTGGGCACTTCGACTGATATCCTTTGAAGCGTTCCCAGGCGTCTGTGAAACTCTCGCCGTGCTTTTGTGCGAAGCTTGAGATGTTGGTTCTGAAGCTTGCAGTTCTGACTGAGGAGAAGAACTTAGCCAAGAAGGCTTTCTTGCACTGATCCCAGCTTGTGATGGACCCTCGAGGTATCGTCTTTTCCCATTGGCGAGCTTTGCCATCAAGTGAGAATGGGAATAAACGAAGTTTGGTTGCGTCTTCGCTTACCCCATTCTGTGTGATCAAATCACATGCTCTGTCAAACTCGTCAAGATGGTCCAACGGGTCTTCCTCAGGTAGACCGTGATAGATCTTTTGTTGGACTTGATGCAGAATGTGCGGTTTGATTTCGAAGTTGTTGTGCACATTCGGCGGGGCTATGCCTTGACGGTTTTCGTGAGTGTTAGGTGCATCGCCGGCACCTATTTGACGGTGAGGTCGCAGAGGTGGATTGTTTCGCTGACCACCTTGTTGTTCCGGTCCGGGTGGGAATCCTTCCTGTTGGGGTTGGGCTGCCATGTCCGGAACCTCTTGTCTTCTGGTTCGCGAAGTAACTCTGCGTGACCGTTTGTTTTGCTCTGCTTTGTCAAGATCGCTTGTACTTAGGAGGTTGTCTCGTCCTTTGGATCTGGTGTGCATACACCTGAGGTCAAAGATGAGAGGTTTCACAGAAAGTTAGCGACTTTAGGCAAGATAGAGCAAAACCGACTTAATCTAAGGTTTTTCTTGAAAACGAAATGCTTAAAAGTCTCCACTTTGGCAACGGCGCCAAGTTGATAAGTAGGATTTTTGTATCAACTACTCTCAATCCATACCACTCATGTCATTGTAGTACTTGAGATGTCAATCCAAGTGGAGATTTAAACTTATCGAAATAAAGAAAAGGCAAAGATCAAGTTTCGATAAAAGATTGGGTTTTGTTTTGTAAAGATCTATGCTTTAAGCTAACAAGATGAAATAAAGATTTAAACTTTGACAATAAAAGATAAAGGAGGCGTCTTGGGTGAGACTTAGTTGGGATCAACGAGCTCAACCTTCCTTTCTCAACACACCAAGACTCAAGCTTTGTGCTTAGACTTTGGGTAAATCTGCCACTCTCGTGGTCAGATCGCTCTGTAACGCGAGATTAATAGAGATTTAGGGTTTCGATGGTTCGGGTTGGGTTATTTCTCTAGGAAAGATAAACTCTGGTTGGATCAGTATAATATGGATATAAGGCGCGAAAAGCAAAAGTATCTTTTGTCAATGGTATCTGGGATGCAATGTTTGAGAACTATGCTTAACATATCAAGTTTTTCGAATTCAAAATAAAACATTAATATGTTTTCGAACATTACATTGCCGATTGTCTTAACATACCAAACATAAACCAGACATCAATATCGAAATTAACCAAGACAACATAGTTTAGAGATAATAAAACCAGAGTTTTCAGACAACATAGTTTTTAGATAACAAAAGCGGCGTTTTTAGAGTTCAGAGAGGGCAGATGCTACGAAGTTGGTTGGCCTCTGATGTCCCCAGTGCTGATATCGCCTTATCCGAATCATGCCTGTAGAAATGTTCAAACAATAACCCCATTTAGACCATTTATCTACATAAATAATAGCATTCGGCGAATTGAGTTCTCTGACCTTCCTACCATTGCCAAGTCATCAACTCCAGGGATTTCCGGAATAAACCAAAATCGACAATATTTCCCTCCATTGACGACCATTTTCTCGACTTCCATCCTGTAAATCTCTGTCAGAACGAAAAAAGAAAATATTCGATCAACTCCAATTTAGGGCGTACACCAACAGATATCTCTAAACCCTAAACCCGTACAACATCCGTATACTTATTTCGAGATTGCGAAACCCTCGATTCGCTTAATAGAATCCTGACCACACCCTCACGAAGGAGAGACCACTTGTAGGAGAACTTCTCAGCCACACTCCCATATGCGATACAATAGAGTACGTTGTCCCTGGTTTAGGCGTTAGTACAATACTTTCATAATATTAGTATACAAATTATTAGGAAACTGACCTATATAAGGAAAGCAATTTCAAAACATGTTGTCCCTAATGGTGAATGGGATGGACCTCTCAGCATTTGCGCTGTTTTCTGGCCGGAAGAGCTTCCCAACGTAGCTCATAGTCCCAATAAGGTCAACGCACGGATAGTACCAATTTGCATGTTCCCACACGAATACGAGGGATGCGAAATATAATTTGTTTTAGTAAGTGTAAAACTTACCTATCGGATAAGCAATGTTGAAGTATCCAAATTTCACATCTTCGAAGGGAGTGAATTTGAAGAAGTTGCGGTCTGTTAGAGGTGGAATCGGGGTTATGGTCGCGTCCGATGGAATGACAAGCATGCACATGTGCGTTGAGAGGAAATGGTTCCTATTCCTACAGTTCGAAGTGGAAACAAGGACGCCGGATATTTGTGCCCACGCTCCCTCTGGAAGAGAATCAAAACGGTCCATAGCCCGTGTATTGACGGACGCGTGAATCTTCGTTCCCTGAGAAAGGACAAATTAATCTTGAGATATTCGGAGAACATATAAACTTTGATGAGGTTATTGCTAAATAGATCAGATCGGAAAGATAACTAACTTCACTATCGACGAGAATGAAGTCGAGTGTGCGCTGAAAGGAGGCATCCCAGTCTTCAACCCTCCGGTAAACCTTCACCCTGATGGTGGTGGGCTTTCGGCGAGTGGAGAACGTATGAAGCTCTTTCAGAAGTGAAAACATCCCTGCTTGTTTTGCCATCCGATCACTCCGATCTCCTTCTGGTCCATCTCCGATCATCACCTCCGGTCCCTCCTTCGCCATAAGCTCCGAATACCTGATAAATGCACCCCAAATGCAATGGAAATGCAAAATGCTAACCTAAAGGCTAAATGATCCTAAGTAGACTAAAGTTACTCTAAATGTTATGAAATCGGACTCAATTATATACAGAACTATGCAGTATGAGAAGCTAAATGTATGCAAATGTTGAGTACATCAGCATTGCACAGCCCAAATGGCATCCTTCGATAGGCAAAGGTACCATAAGGGCATGTGAAAGTGCTTTTCTCCTGATCATTGGGGTGGATCGGGATTTGGAAGAAACCATTGTAACCATCAAGAAAACAATAAAAATGATGGTTTGCTAATCTTTCTAACATCTGATCAATGAAAGGGAGAGGGAAATGATCCTTTCTAGATGCTGAATTTAGTTCCTATAGTCAATACACATGCGATGCCCCACTATTGTTCTAGTGGGAATCAGCTCCTCCTTGTCATTTCTTATGACAGTGATCCCCCCTTTCTTTGGGACGCAATGAACTGGAGATATCCAAGTGCTATCATTGATGGGATAGATTATCCCAGCATCAAGCAACTTGAGTATCTCTTTCTTCACTACTTCCTTTAGATTGGGGTTCAATCTCCTTTGAGGTTCAATGCTAGACTTACTTTCATCCTCTAGATGAATCCTATGGATGCATAGGTCAGGGGAGATTCCCTTGATATCATCTAGAGTGTAACCTATTGCTTTTCTGTACTTCCTCAGTTCAACAAGCAAAGCACTCAACTGTTCAGGTTCCAAATCAGAGTTCACAATGACAGGGTAGGTTGAGTTTTCACCCAGAAATGCATACCTGAGGCGCTCAGGCAAAGGTTTGAGGTCGACTTTAGGCGCGTTGGGCTCAGACCAATCTCCTTGAGCTTGCTCTTTGCATTCAGTCCCCAGCTCGATCGAGTTCGTTTGTTCGAGGCCCGACTCGATCGAGCTCTTGATCGAGCTCACTGCCATGAACTCGCAAAGTGGCCTGTCCAACCCCTCAATGCTCAGAATGCTTGGAACTGGTCTGAAGGTGGTCTGAAGCAACATTTTTCGGGTTTGACTGTCGATCGAGTTGAGGAAGCTCGACCGGTTGGTCGAGTGGACGGTCGAGCTGGTCTTCAAGATGGCTTCTCCCTTCTTCCTTTGCGTATCCAGTTGAGCTGCTTCCATGTGCCAAGTCCCTCCATGCTCCTTGTCCCATATGCTCCAGAATGCTCCAAAAGACCTATTTCAAAGGACCAAACATGCATATGTATGCAAATGCAACCTAAAACTAACATGAATGCATAAGAAGAGAAAAGGAACAAGATATGATGCAAATGGAAGCTAAAACTATGCAAAAGATGCATAAAAGATGTGCTAAAACTATGTAAAATGCAAGTACATCAACACCCCCAAACTTGAACTTTGCTTGCCCTCAAGCAAACAAATAGAACAAGAAAGAGATGAGGTTTGAAAATAAGCTGATTCAACACTTAAAAACATGTCCTCAAAAGCGATTTGCTAAATGTCCAACTTAGAGATTCTAGAATGCAACAAGGTGAGAGATATTCATTAAGATTTAACCATGCTTATCAACATCAATCCCACTTCACAGTCACTCAAACAATGCATTCAAATCAGCAAATCCCTTTAACATTCATTAAGCAAAAACAGTGAACCAAAAACATGCAAGATCAATCAACTCATTTGGTTTCAAGGGTTTATGGGTTAAGAGACAAAGAGGGTCTCTTTTGTATGGTGGTTTAGTAACAGGGATCTCTCAAGAAAGTGGCTTTGCTTTGGCAGAAGGCTAAGTGTTAGAACCAAAGATGATGCAAGAACAGCAGCTCGAGCCGCCTAATCCTAACTCGATCGAGTTCAACACTTAGAGCTTTTTAGAACAAAATCCTAACTACCCTTTTTGGCATTTCGCCTTTGAAACTGAGGAGCTTTGCTCACTTTTCTTTTAAGAACTTCCTAGGGAGAGGCTTCTTGAGGTAACATCTAGCGGTTTGGGATTTTCTAAACACTTAGGGAACTTTTCTTTCCTTTTTGGACACTTGAGGCTTTGCCTTCTTTTCATTCTACTTAGAACCCTTTTTACTTTCCTTTTTTAACTTCCCAAACCTTTACTAGACCCTTTTTAACACTGCCAACTCCCTGGACTTAACCAAACTCTTTTTCCTTTGGGTTTTTCCCAACTTTTACCACTTTTCTGGTTTTTACACCCAACTCGATCGAGCTCGAGTTGGCACCCCCAAACTTAGCCTGAAAACAATCCCAAGAGAACTAGACAACTAGAACTACTGCCCTGCCGGTTTAAACACAACACCTTATGCTAAGCAAAGCCAAGAAAGGTTCTCACATTCGCACAAGAGATAATAATGGGGTTTGAAATGAAAAGGCTTAGGTTTAAGGTGTGGTAACTGTCTCAAAGATAGAGATCAGCTATCTGGACAAGCAAAAGGGATATGAAAGGTGATAAGAATGTCCAGATATGTATGTGGTAGCCATGAGTTGAAATCAAATGCAAGCATTGGTAATTAAAGATCAAGTTATGGTTCAAATAGATAGGGAAATGCATCAAATCACAGCAATGGTTGAATGAGATGTGCATGCAGTGATATGATCAAGATAAACATGGTTCTTGCTGCTCAATCAATCTCACCCTAATGCACAAAAGAATCTAAAAACAGGGCACTCAAGAAATCGCAAAAGATGGACAAGTTTTCAAAGTCAAATCAACAATGCAAGTGAAAAATGCAATCCTAAACAAGTCTAACAAATATGAATGCAAAAAGATGAAAATATTTTTGGATTTTTTGAAAATTTTATGATTTTTTTGGTTTTTCTATGCAAAAGATAAATGAAAAACTAAGAACAAAGAAAACAAGGTTAAATCATCTCTTGAACCCTCCCCCAAACTTAAATCACACAGTCCCTTGTGTGAGAAAAATTTAGTGAAAGATTCAAGAGGGCAAAACCAAGAAAAAACAAGAACAAATGCAAGAAAATATGAAATGGTATATACAAGGGTTGGTGTTTGGATACCTCAGTGTCCCCCAAAGAACTGGGAGACTAGGTCGTGGTCTGGAGATGGTAGACGGCCATCAGGAGCACTCCACTATGTTCGGCTCACTCGATCGAGCTTGCTCTTGACTCGATCGAGTTGTGCCTCGAGTTAGCCACTCTTCTTCCTAAAACCTGCTCCTGTGAGACTCAGCCAAGAAAAATCATAAAAATAAAAGGATAAAGTATAAATACATAAGATAGACATGGGAATTCCTCCCAAGTGAGCTTGTTTTAGGTCTCTTAGCTTGACCTTACCCCTTTTTAGGCCGGGGTTGGATCTTCTAGAGGAGTGATGATCTCCTCTGTGGGGGTCATTCCTAGATATGGCTTGCATCTATGTCCATTCACTGTGAATTCCTTCCCCTCTTGATTGAGTAAAGTGAGGGACCCATAGGGTAGAACTTCGTGAATCTTGAATGGTCCCGCCCATTTTGACCTCAGCTTCCCGGGAAACAACCTTAGCTTGGAGTTATACAAGAGCACACTGTCCCCAACCTTGAAATCCTTAAGGCGAATCAGTTTGTCGTGGGCTGCCTTGGTTCTCATCTTGTAAATCCTAGAGTTCTCATAGGCATTCATTCTTATCTCCTCCAGCTCAAACAAGTTCATTACCCTCCTTTCTTGTGCTGCCTTTATATCAAAGTTCAGCATCTTTACTGCCCATAAAGCCTTATATTCGACCTCCACAGGTAAGTGGCAGTCCTTCCCATACAGCAAATTGAAAGGAGACCTTCCAATGGGGGTTTTGTAGGCTGTTCTATAAGCCCAAAGTGCCTCATCAAGCCTTGCTGCCCAGTCTTTCCTAGTGAAGCTCACAGTCTTCTCAATATGGCCTTGATCTGTCTGTTGGAGACTTCAACTTGCCCACTGGTTTGAGGGTGATAAGGTGTGGCGACCTTGTGTTTGACTCCATGGCTTCTCATCAACTTTTCAAACACCTTGTTGATGAAATGGGAGCCTCCATCCGAATAACAACCCTTGGGATGCCGAACCTTGGAAAGATGATGGTTCTGAAAAGCTTGACAACCACCTTGGCGTCACAGGTTGGGCAGGGAATGGCTTCAATCCATTTGGATACATAGTCTACAGCAACCAAAATGTAGTTGTGCCCGTTTGAAGAAGGTTTGAAAGGTCCCATGAAGTCTATTCCCCATACATCAAAGATCTCAACCTCTAGAATTGGGTTTAGTGGCATCTCGTCCCTCTTGGTGATCCCTCCTTTCCTTTGGCACGGATCACACTTGGCAATGTAGTCTGCTGCATCCTTAAACAAAGTAGGCCACCATAAACCAGATTGCAAAACCTTAGTTGCTGTTTTGAATGTAGCAAAGTGACCTCCGTAAACTGACCCATGGCAATGCTCTAGAACTCCTTGCACATCCTCTTCAGCAATGCATCTCCTGTAAATGCTGTCTGGTCCTCTCTTGTACAGGTAGGGCTCATCCCAATAGTAATGCCTAGCATCCTTGAAGAATTTCTTCCTCTTGTAAGCATCAAAGCTACTAGGGACTTCTCCGGACACCATGAAGTTCACTATATCAGCATACCATGGCAAATTCTCATCACGCAGAGCCTTAACTTCTTCCAGCCTGGCTTTCTCATCAAAACTCTCCTTCAAGATCATGATTGCCATAAGCTGTTCTTCAGGCATAGAATCATTGATGGGGATCATGTCTTCAACTCGCATCCTAGAGAGATGATCAGCAACTCCATTTTCTACTCCCTTTTTGTCCACAACTTCTATATCAAACTCTTGAAGCAAAAGGATCCATCTGAGAAGTCTTGGCTTTGTATCTTTTTTAGCGAAGATGTGTCTAAGGGCAGCATGGTCAGTGTGCACAATCACCTTGGATCCAACTATATAGCTTCGAAACTTCTCAAAGGCAAAGACTATGGCAAGGAGCTCCTTCTCTGTGGTTGCATACTTGCACTGAGCATCATCCATAGTCTTGCTTGCATAGTAGATGACATTGAGTTTCTTGTCTATCTTTTGGCCAAGCACTGCTCCTACTGCATAGTCAGATGCATCACACATAATCTCAAATGGGTGATCCCAGTTTGGAGCTTGTACTATTGGCGCAGACACCAGAGCATCCTTCAGCAAGGTCCAAGACTTGTGGCATTCTTCATCAAACTCAAAATCTGTCTCCTTGCACAGAAGCCTTGTCAAGGGTCTTGCTATCTTTGAGAAATCCTTGATGAATCTTCTGTAGAACCCTGCATGACCCAGAAAACTCCTTATGTCCTTCACAGTCTTGGGAACAGGGAGCTGCAACATGACATCCACCTTAGCTCGATCGAGCTCGATCCCTTTCTCGGAAATCTTGTGTCCAAGCACAATCCCTCTCGAACCATGAAGTGGCACTTCTCCCAGTTGAGTACTAGATTGGTCTCCTCACACCTCTGCAACACCCTGCACAAGTTAGACAAACATGAGGAGAAGGATGCTCCATAGACTGAGAAATCGTCCATGAAGACTTCTACCATCTCCTCTATCAGATCTGAAAAAATGGAGGTCATGCACCTGGAAAGGAAAGTAGCTGGAGCATTGCACAGCCCAAATGGCATCCTTCGATAAGCAAAGGTGCCATAAGGGCATGTGAAAGTGGTCTTCTCCTGATCATTAGGGTGGATCGGGATTTGGAAGAAACCACTGTAGCCATCAAGAAAACAATAAAAAGGGTGGTTTGCCAATCTTTCTAACATCTGATCAATGAAAGGGAGAGGGAAATGATCCTTTCTAGATGCTGAATTTAGCTTCCTATAGTCAATACACATGCGATGCCCCACTATTGTTCTAGTGGGAATCAGCTCCTCTTTGTCGTTTTTAATGACAGTGATCCCCCCTTTCTTTGGGACGCAATGAACTGGAGATATCCAAGTGCTATCACTGATGGGATAGATTATCCCAGCATCAAGCAACTTGAGTATCTCTTTCTTCACTACTTCCTTTAGATTGGGGTTCAATCTTCTCTGAGGTTCAATGCTTGACTTACTTTCATCCTCTAGATGAATCCTATGGATGCATAGGTCAGGGGAGATCCCCTTGATATCATCTAGAGTGTAACCTATTGCCTTTCTGTACTTTCTCAATTCAACAAGCAAAGCACTCAACTGTTCAGGTTCCAAATCAGAGTTCACAATGACAGGGTAAGTTGAGTTTTCACCCAGAAATGCATACCTGAGGCCCTCAGGCAAAGGTTTGAGGTCGACTTTAGGCGCCTTGAGCTCAGACCAATCTCCTTGAGCTTGCTCCTTGCTTCAGTCCCCAGCTCGATCGAGTTCGTTTGTTCGAAACTCGACTCGATCGAGTTCTTGATCGAGCTCACTGCCATGACTTCGCAAACTGGCCTGTCCAATCCCTCAATGCTCAGAATGTTTGGAACTGGTCTGAAGGTGTCAAGGAGCTTCTTGTACTCATCAGTTTCTGAGCTCACATATCCCTCTGAAGAATCCTTGGTCAAAGCAACTTGTAGGGATCCTCTGTTGATAACTCTTCTAGAAGCTCATCTGCCAACTGATCCATTTCCTCAACATAAAAGAGCTGACCTTCTATAGTTGGTTTCCTCATTGTATCCTTGATATCAAACTTCATCTTCAGGTCCTTTCCCAAGTTTAACTCAATTGTTCCTTCACAGACATCTATCATTGCTCTTGCTGTAGCTAGGAATGGCCTTCCTAGAATCAATGGATCTGTTGGTTCCTCATCCATCTCAAGCACAATGAAGTCTGTGGGGATCTTCCACATTCCCTATCCTCAAAGGCAGGTCTTCAAGCATCCCAGTTGGTAACCTTATCGATCTATCTGCCAAGACTAGTGAGATTCCGCAGGCTTGGTACTTGTGATATCCCAGTCTCTTCGCTACAGACAAAGGCATGAGGCTGACAGATGATCCTAGATCGCAGAGACTGTTTTTGAAAGATAGGGGTCCCAACATGCAGGGCAAAGTGAAACTCCCCGGATCTTCCTTTTTGTCGGAGATGACCTTCCGCTGAATGATTGCACTGCACTCGCGAGTCAACACTACCATCCCTTGTGCTTCCCTGGTTCTTTGCTGAACAGCATCCTTCAGAAATTTCTGATAAGGTGGAATGAGCATCAAGGCGTCGATGAAGGGCAACTTCAACTCAAGCTGTCTCATTAGTTCATCAAACTTGGCCTTGTGTGCTTCCAACAGTTGTTTCTTGAACCTTCCTGGAAAGGGCAGAGGGGGCTTGTATGGTGGTGGTCCTGCTGGAGTGTCTTTCTTCTTTGCAACAGGTTTAGCTGGTTGGCTGGAGTTTGCTTTGTCTGCTCTCTGGCTCGATCGAGCTCTGGTTTGTCTTGCAGTGTCTCAGTTTCTCAGCTCGATCGAGTTCTGGTTCAGGGTTTTGTTCCAGCTCGATCGAGTTCGGGTCGAGTTATCAGCATAGTCGACTAAATCCTCCCCTTCCTCGTCATCGATGTCCACAGCGATTTGGGGTTATACTCTGTTGTTCCACTCCAGTGATGTACTTGCATTTTACATAGTTTTAGCACATCTTTTATGCATCTTTTGCATAGTTTTAGCTTTCATTTGCATCATATCTTGTTCCTTTTCTCTTCTTATGCATTCATGTTAGTTTTAGGTTGCATTTGCATACATATGCATGTTTGGTCCTTTGAAATAGGTCTTTTGGAGCATTCTGGAGCATATGGGACATAAGGAGCATGGAGGGACTTGGCACATGGAAGCAGCTCAACTGGATACGCAAAGGAAGAAGGGAGAAGCCATCTTGAAGACCAGCTCGACCGTCCACTCGACCAACCGGTCGAGTTCCTCAACTCGACCGGCCAAGCTTCAACTCGATCGAGCTGGGAGTCAAAGTCAAACCCGAAAAATGTTGCTTCCCCCTTGACTTCCCTTTGACCCTAAACCTAATCCTCTTTGTATTTAAAGGCTCTTAGCCACGAAAAAACCACCAAGCTTTAGATTACTTTTGTTTTAGTTTCTTTTAATTTATTGTACTTTTACTTTTTAGAGATCTAATCCATCTTTGTGTTCTTGAAGCTCTTGCTTCTTGAATCTTAGATCCTGGATAATCTCTCTTGTATTTGCACTTGCTTATTTCAATAAAAGTTGTTTAATTTCATCTCCTCTTTCTTATGATGTCTCTTTTATTGCATTTGCTTGTGTTTACATTCATGTGTAGTGAGTAGTTACCCATTAGGGTTTGAGATGGGATAGATTAGAGGTTTCATATGCTTAATCCTTCTAGCTTATGGTCTTAATCTAGATTCTCTCTCTTTTGGATAGATCTTAAGGCTACATGACTGATGATAGGATTTGTGTGTGGATGTGAATATGAAATGAGATGTGGAATGCAATCAGTGGTAATAAAGATGATGGTAAGATGCAAACACAAACACATCAATTCCTCTTAACCATCATAGTCATTAGTATAAGAGGTTATCAATCCAAAATGGGAAACTTGTCACTCTATGAGAATATGAAACAACCAGAAAGTCAAGCAAGCAGTTATAGATTTGAAGTAACACTAACAACCTAAATAAATGAAAAGCAGTGCAATAAAAGTAAACAAAGCAGTGAAGTCAGCTCGACCAAGAGCTCGAGTCGAGTCAGAGCAAAGTACCAGCTCGATCGAGTTTAGGGACGAGTTGAGACAAACAAAGCTAAAGGTGACGACTTTAACAAGATAAAGAGAGAATTAGGGTTCAAGACAGGGTTTTGCAATCAAAGGAATCTACACTTAATCAATCTAGCTCTTAAAACTCCTTGTATCAAGGCTTCTCTTGATATTGGGCTTCTCAATGCCTAGCCAACCCTTTCCCAAGGTGGAGGCTATCAACCAAGGAATGATCTCAGAAACAGGGGGTTAGCCAGTGAGAATCAAACCTTGGAGGCTATAGGATCATTGCCCAAACTAATCCATCCAACCCCTTAGACCTCTATTGTCTAGAGCAAGAGATATTGGAGCTCTTAGTGGATCTTTTCCAGCGAATGCCATCACTTTCGTGTGGGGAGTCGCCTAAGGACTTACAAGCCAGGGGTAGTGGTCATGTAGCCTTAAGATCTATCCAAAAGAGAGAGAATCTAGATTAAGACCATAAGCTAGAAGGATTAAGCATATGAAACCTCTAATCTATCCCATCTCAAACCCCAATGGGTAACTACTCACTACACATGAATGTAAACACAAGCAAATGCAATAAAAGAGACATCATAAGAAAGAGGAGATGAAATTAAACAACTTTTATTGAAATAAGCAAGTGCAAATACAAGAAGATTATCCAGGATCTAAGGATTCAAGAAGCAAGAGCTTCAAGAACACAAAGATGGGATTAGATCTCTAAAAGTAAAAGACAATAAATTAAAAGAAACTAAAACAAAATAATCTAAAGCTTGGTGGTTTTTTCGTGGCTTAGAGCCTTTAAATACAAAGGATTAGGTTTAGGGTCAAAGGAAAGTCAAGGGGGAAGCAACATTTTTCGGGTTTGACTTTGACTCCAGCTCGATCGAGTTGAAGCTTGGCCGGTCGAGTTGAGGAACTCGACCGGTTGGTCGAGTAGGACGGTCGAGCTGGTCTTCAAGATGGCTTCTCCCTTCTTCCTTTGCGTATCCAGTTGAGCTGCTTCCATGTGCCAAGTCCCTCCATGCTCCTTGTGTCCCATATGCTCCAGAATGCTCCAAAAGACCTATTTCAAAGGACCAAACATGCATATGTATGCAAATGCAACCTAAAACTAACATGAATGCATAAGAAGAGAAAAGGAACAAGATATGATGCAAATGGAAGCTAAAACTATGCAAAAGATGCATAAAAGATGTGCTAAAACTATGTAAAATGCAAGTACATCACAGGGGTAGTGGTCATGTAGCCTTAAGGTTTGCCCAAAAGAGAGAGATTTTTAGATTAAGAACATAAGCAAGAAGGATTAAGCATAAGGATCCCCTAAGCTAGCCCATCTCAAACCCTAATGGGTAACTACTAACTCCACATGATGAAATAAACAACCAAATGCATTGAAATAAACATCAAATGAAAGAGGAGATAAAGATAAACAACTTTTATTGAAATAAGCAAGTGTAAATACATAAGAGATTATCCAGGATCTAGGATTTAAGAAGCAAGAGCGTCAAGCACTACAAGAATAAGTCATTTCTGTAGCTCACGAATAACGCTATCATTGGTGTTAAATAGCGTTATTATGAACGCTATGTCATCGACAGCTATGATAGGTGACCCTATAATATAGCGTTAGTTTTGGCATGCTATGGTATACCTTCAACTTATTATAGCGTTATTTTATTTTGCTATAATATAGTACCCCATATTATAGCAGTCAGTTACGTCATGCTATGGTAAATACAGACATAATATAGCACTAATTGTTGTCGTTATAATATCGCACTTTGTATGTTAGCGTTTCTTTTGAGCTATAATACATTTTTCGTAGCTTCTTTAAAACGCTATAAATAGGCAACATTTTTTTTGGCAGTCTCAGAATATCCCATATTCCCCTGCTGTAGCACAAACTAGTTGCCATCTTAGTAGTGACACAAAGTGAAATTGACTCTAATCAACATCACTCGTAAGTCTCAAAGGAACAAATTTAGAAAACACATCAATCACTACATAATTCTCAAACCAACGGAGTCTACATTCATCGTCATTACATAAGTCTCAAACCAACGGAGTCTCAGACTCGTTTCAAACCGACATCAGTCACTACGTAACATAAGTCAAGTTCAGAGTAAATAATTCAAGATAGTAGCCCGAACCTCATAAGTTCTTCAACACATGATCACTTTGTCTTCTGGCCACGCAATGGATGTACCTATTGCATCCTCCATACATTCAATCTCAGAACACGGCCTCCAAACTGCTGCATCAGTTACTTTCACCACGTCTATCCAAACTCTAACAGCATTTGCACCCAAGGGAACAAAATGCACAGTCTGGTCTTGGTTGTTTGAAGCCCACCGACCTTCAGCGACAACACGGCTGTCCCCATTAACGTCCATCAACTTGAACACCACGCTGCAACTATTTGTTGTGTAAACCATTTTTCTTATACTCAACGCAATATCAAACACACACTTGATCATAGTAACAAGTAAATTACCGGAGATCTTCGAAGAGAGGATTGTGAAGGTGGCTGAGAATTCTTCATAGGAGCTTGTGGACTTGTTGGTGGGGATTTGCGGTATTCCCTTGTTGGTGCTTTTGAACTTGTCGCAGTAGGTTTTGCGCTTGCCGTCTTACAGGATGCAGATTTCTCTGATGCAGCGAAATTTCGAATCTGAGATATTTGGGAATTTGCATGTGTACCACCTTGAATTACCACTCTATTCGCAGGCCATGACACAGAGGACATCAAACAATCCTCAAGGTATGTCATCTCAGCTGTAGGCCTCCAAAGAAATGTTTGCGGAACATGTACCACTTCCACGTTTACTTTTACTGCATTTGGACCAAGAGGCAGACCGTTAACTAATGTTTTTGGGTCATCTGACTGCGAACGACATTCTCCAACAGTCTCATCTGAGCCGGACCAGTCAATAAGTTTGCAATTCCTAGAAGAACTACTCGGCATTCCCTAACAAACGCCGGAAAAAATGATTCAAGTTCTCGTATGAAGTACAGAACTATAAATGTATAAGAGTAAGAAAAATTACCTTGTTCGCAATGTCTTCTGTTTGGTCTAAAATCACATAGTTAGTGGCAGGCCATGCGATTACTTTACCTACTGCTTCCTCAATAGTGGACATCTGAGGTGCAGGTCTCCAAAGAAACGCACTTGGTGTAAATGCAATTTCAACCAACACTTTAACAGCATTAGGGCCTAAGGGAATGTCATTGACAAAATCATCCGGATCAGAGGAAAATAGAAGCCCTTCCGCAACGTTGTCATCATTTCCAGTCCAATCAACCAACAGACATCTAGGGTGTGATTTTTGGTTGACACTCTATAGACGTTTGGTTCGAAAATATGTCAGAGCCTTAAATGATATAATGTGTACATATTTCAATGAGAGAAGAACTTACTATAGCAGCTGCTGAGTTTTCACCAACTTCTGTTTCTGCCCACTGCTGCTAAAAATCATAATTACATTGTATAACATGTTAACTTTTTGACTAATGTATAATGCTTTAATGTTAAAATTAGATGCTCACCTGATATTTGAATTTCGCAAGTTCTTGTTGAAGCTCATTTACTTTATGAAGTAATTGACATTGCTTCTCCTGCATCTCAACCACAATTTTGTTGTTCATGCTTAAACATGCAAACTTTGACATGCTCATGTTTCTACCCATTGCCCTCAACCTTCCTGGATTATCAGGTCCCAACAGCTGCGAGAGAAGATCTTCCTTTGGATTTGTTGAGTCTGAAGGAGTGTCATTATCAATCAGTTTGGCTGCTTTCTTCTGTAAAATGATCCGTAGCATTAACTGGAATTAATACAAACGCTAATGCATAAAAGAAAACTAAATAAAATTGTAAGTAACTGAAGCTTACAAATTTCTCCGCAGCATTCGTATTCACTGCTGTACCATCCTTCTTGGTGTGTGACTTGACCCATACCTTCAATCTAGTGACGTTTGAAGCATCTGCACTATCTTTTTTCTGTGTACAAACAAAAGACCAATCAAAACGAATAATGACGTCCGGTTATCAAGACAGTGGGAGAGAATAAACTATACCATATCTTCTGCAAGCCTAACCATTCCTTTGCGGCTACAAGTATGGGAAATCTGTTTGCTTCTTTTCTGCTTGTATTGATCGCTCACAGCCTAAAAAAAAAAACCATAAAGTGTATTTATCGCTCAAAGACTTCAAAATTAAACCATAACCAAGCCTAACCGTTCATATAATGTTGTACATGTTCGTACCTTGAATGCTGGGCTAATCTTGAGCTTCCCAAATTTACGCCATTCTGTAGGTGGGACATTCTTTGGCCGGAGATTCATCCTCTGTTGATTTGTAGTACTTTCTTCCCTAAGTTTCCTTACTATTCTCTATTTCGATGAACTCAACAGACAACCCATCTGTTTCATCACGTAATTCTTCTGGTAGTTTTCATGAAGTTCAAATCTCGCCTGCATTGATTTATTGATTAGCTTTACTAAGGGCCTGACTGGTTTAACCGCTGCGGTTGCGGTTGCGGGTGCGGAGTTTGCGGAAGCGGGCGGTTGTGATTAGTAGCGTTATTAAGCGGTTTGAACAACTGGCATAACAATTGAAAATTGATGCGTTTGCGGGTTACTTATGACTGGTTCACTTGCGGATGCAATAGCGGTTAAACAATAAATTAATAATGTAAACACATTATATAATTATAAAAAAAAATCAAAACTATATTATAATGAAAATTTTAAAATTTATGGTTCAACATAATAAAAAATATATATAAAGAATAATATGTATATAATACTTACATCTATCTTTTAATTTCTATAATTTAAATAAAAAAATGTGATTTTAATTTCAAAATATATATTTAATGTGAAATTTAAATTTATATTACAATTTTATTTATTAGATATATATGTATTAGTATGAAAGAATATTTATCATGAGAATTTTGATTTGTAGAGCTTATAAATATATAAGTATTATATGATTTTAATGAATATTGACTAAAAGTACTAATTTTTTATTTATATTGTGATTTTATTATCCAAATCCTATTTTTTAATAAATATTATTATTTATTTTCGGATTTTATATAAGTTTGTGTTTTTTTTTTTTTTTTTTTTAGTTATCCACCCGCAACCGCCCACAACCGCAACGCTTGCGGAAAGGAGCTTTTGATTTTCAGCGGTATTGAGCGGTACAGAGTGGTATAGAGCGATTCAAAGCGGTTGTCGTGATTGTTATAAACCGCCGAAAACCGCTACGAACCGCAAACGCTGCGTTTGCGGGTGGTAGCGGGAGAACCAATCAGGCCCTAAATCATATTTTAATATATACAGAGACAGATAGAGAGAGAAAGAGAGAGAGAAATATTACTCACTTGAATAGATTTCCAGAGGACTGTCTTCAACTCCTCACTAATCTTTCGCCAGTCACCCAGTGTGACTGGAACGTGTTCTCTCACTAGTGGACCAAGGTAAGAAGACAGCTTCACAGATCCTGGACCAATTGGTTCTCTCATCGCATTGAACTCAACTCGCTCACGATTATTTGGATGTTTTGCTAATTTTTTCATCCTTGTTGGTCCTCGTTGTCTCTTTCGAACCGGTACTTCTGGTACCTCACCAGCTAGCTCACCTTCTGGGTCTTCCTCATTCTCACCGTCATCATCTTGTACCCCTCCTGTACCTGATATCAAAAGTGGCGCGTCTTCCATTGGATCGTCATCATCAACTTGTTGCGTTTCTTGACCATGAACTTCCGGCTGCTGTGTTCTTATATACTCTGGTTCATCATCTGCCGGACATGTCTTTTTCTTCTTTCTTACCACATTCGTTTTATTCCGAACCATTCTAAGTCACCTGAGACAAATAAAAATTTAGTTAATAATTAATCATCATAATAACGAATATGCAAATTTTAAAATCTACCATATACCAAGCAAGGTGAGACAAAGAACTACAAACCATCAAAAAATCGAGTATGCAAAGACAGAACATTATTCATATTCCACGGAAGATGACACATAGCAAATATAAACCATCAAAACATCCTGTAAAACAGAGACGTAACCAAAACGCTGGAGCTTCACACGTCAATGCCATCACAGTCGGTACGGGCATATGGAACATCGTCTTGCTCAATTTCCATATCGACTACTGATGACAGAGGCTCAATATCTAAAGGCAGATATTCATAATCTTCTTCATTGAATTTTCTTGTAGGACAACGTAGAGCAATATACCAACTCGATGTCTCATTCTCCCTTGAGTAAAACACTTGTTTTGCTTGTGAAGCCAATATGTAAGGATCTTTCAGGAAGGTAACCTGGCTCTGATTCAAGTTCACGAGGGTGAATCCGTCTTCTACCCTAACACCATTACCTTTAACGGCCCAATGACAGCGGAATAGAGGAATGTAGAAAACATTGTAGTCCATCAAGATGATGTCCAGGACTTTGCCATAATAAGATACGAAATCAGCAACTTGTGACGTATCCTTTGCACTCGACCTACACATTGCAGTAGCCTCGTAATATACACCACTATTCTGACTCTGCCTATCAACTGAACTAGTCTGAAACCGCAGCCCGTTTATTATATAACCAGTGTACGACCTTGCACTACTACGTGGACCATATGCCAACCACTTCAGTATTTCGTCATGGTCTTCTGAGTTAATAGCTATCTAAACATTATTAAGAAAATACTCTCAGACACATTTGTAGTAAGAGAAACCATAGATTATTAACAAAATAACGAGTAAATGTGTGACACCCGCCTCTTACTTAATCAAGAAGGTATGTCCAAGTA